TAAAACTTCCAGGGAGAGATAGTGGTAGAGTTACTTCTGGTCGTTTTTATAACCCCATCTCTCACAGGATACAAGCAAGTTTTACGCATTTACAAAAATGAGAGGTGACATGGAAGGAAATTGTTACTAGCCCAGAGAAACAGTATTTCTTTCCCTACCAATATACAAACCCTTAAGTGTGTGTGTGTGGGGGGGGGGGGTCATAAGAAACAGCTTTTGCTTAAGGAGCTGGAGTGTAGAATCAAACACAAAAAATAAAAGTGTCCAGGAATAAYCCATCTCAAGAAGTAGAATTAGGAACAAATTGGTGGTGTTTATTAGTTACTTATAAAGTTTCGATCCTCTCTGTTATAATGGATTCAGCTGGAGAATACTGAGTTGTTTTGCTTGTTAGTGTGAGATAGTAGTAGAGTTGTAGTAGAGTCTGCTGGCAACGTTACAACTGATAGTAGAAGTAGTAGAGGAAGGAAACAAGGTACCCAGATGTTAGATAAAGAGCAGCAAAGGAAGAGAATCCGAGAGATACTTATGTCACCCACAGACGAGGAATCCTTTGAAGGTTTCTCTGGCAGTGAAATGAGTGAGTAGGAGGAAGGAGATGGGACTAGAGGTTTGAAGAGGTCTACTCGGGAGCAAGAGTCAGACGAGGAGCGTTAAACAAAGAGGATCCAGGACATACTTACTTCTCCCACAGAGGAAGAGGATTTCATGGGCTTTACTGAAGTAATGGGTCTGGGAATAGTGAGGATGAAGAGGAACCACTGGACTGGGCACAAGTTCAGAATATCAGGAATGTGTGCACACAGCCCATGTCCAGTGACACCTTTGAGGAGTTTTCTGGTGGGGATTGGCAAGCTGATGATACCATGGATTCATGGGGTGATCTAAGTCTTGACAAGAGGTGGAAGAGTTGGAGGGATGGGCATTGGCGTTCAGCTGTTGAAGCTAAACCAGCTGACAGCAATGAGGACAGGGCAAAGGGCAACATCAATGGATGATGAGCTGTAGGATAAATGAAGGCACTGGAGTGATAGAACTTTGCAGTAGGCAAAGTGTTGGTTTCGTGCCTTGGCTTTTGTTGCTGCCGCTTCTCTTGTTGGGTTTGGGTCCTGAACTGCAGGTTGCTGTATCCTTCGTGCATCATCTGGCTTGGATTCTCGTAAGTGCGGATTTCCCCTCTCCTTGACCACGGACTGTTTCTGACAACGATGCTACCTTTGGGACTTTGGAATCTTCATCTGGGATTTCTTCAACTTGGGACTGTTTTTGGACGACGGCTTTTCTTCACGGCTCTTTGTTTTACCATTATCTTTGAACTGTGTGATTTTGGTGTGTTTTGAACTAACACTGGTTTAATCCGATTTTTTGCAAGTTTAATCCGGTTTATTTTCCAAGTTATTTATTTATTATTTATTTATTTACTTTATTTGTATACCGCACTCTCTCAGCCCATAGGCGACTCAGTGCGGTTTACAACCAAACCAATATACAAAGTGCACAACATTAGCAATTAAAACAGTAACTAAGGCAACTACATCAATATAACAATACATCAGTACATCAATCTAACATCAATACATCCATATAACTAATCCATCACGTCTCATCAGTAAAGTCATAATCTGATCTCCTCATCCATTATTCCAAGTTCCAAGATCAATCAATTAATTAAGTTCATTTTTTAAGCTGCAAGTTGCTGCAAACTTTGAGTTTTGACCAGAGACACTGAAGCAAGTGTCTCTGAGTCCTGTTTACTTTGATTTAATAAACTGTTGTTTTGAATACTTCCTTGTGTCTGGCTCTTTAAGGCATCTGGGTTCCGGCAGATAGTGTACATTGAATTTTTTAGTTCTTAGGTAGCTAATTCTCTAAAATACTGTTTCAAAATGTTTCAAAGCCTTTTGAGTATCAAACAAAATAAGCAAGCAAGCAGGCAAAGTAAATCCAGTTGTTAGTCTTGCCTTCAGTTAAACTCTCTGAACTGAAGTTTGGTACAGTGTACATTTCCAGGTGACCCAAGCAAGCTCAAAAGCAAGCTCCACTGCAGCTGATTTTATATGTGGTAGGTTTGTATCAGATTGCAGCCTTACTCAGTAGTTCAGGATTAATATCTATCATTTGTGGCAGGTATATCTAATTGGAATATTGTACTAGATTCGTAAACATTTGACAAAGTCTTTCCCAACTTGTCATCAAAGTGTCTGGGCCATGTTTCCATTTGAAATTCCAAACTGATTGCTCTCAGAAAGGACAAGCAACAACCAGACCTAACTCAACACAAAGCCATGGTAGATGCCTCGAGATGCCACATAACATTCTTAGTTATTGTCAGGATGGCAGCAGCAACTTGTCGAGTCAAAAGGCAAAATTCCAAAAAGTTTGTTTTAGAAATAAAAAGGGGACATTATAAATCTGGGAAATCATGCCCCCGGTGGTACAGTGGATTAAACTCTTGTGCTGGCAGGACTGAAGACCGACAGATCACAGGTTCGAATTCAGGGAAAACATGGATGAGCTACCTCTGTCAGCCCCAGCTCCCCATGCAGAGACATGAGAGAAACCTCCCACAAGGATCGTAAAGCATCAGAATATCTGGGTGTCTCCTGGGCAACATCCTTGCAGAAGGCCAATTCTCTCAAACCAGAAGCGACTTGCAGTTTCTCAAGTCTCTCCTGAGATGAAAAAAAAATCCTGCTGGGTGCCCCAAAAGTTGAAAGAGTTTATCTAAGCATCATAACAGTTTGGGAATTTTTTTGTTTAATAATCTTTATTTAATTTTTAAAGAGTACATTAAAAATAGTATAGCATAAAAATATGGTGGTCTTTAAATAAAGAAAGTTATATAGAGTTAAAGATACAGATAAAGATTCGTGTGGGATATGATAAAAGGGAATTGGAGGGTGGGGGGGTAGAAGGATATGACAAAATGGCAGTGTGAAAAGATACAAAGATTAGCTGATAATAAGTGGGAAGTAGGAAGATATATAGAAAGATAGCATTGAAAAAACAGATAAGAATGTAGATGTCTTGGCTTCCCAGTGTTTTCTCTGAGGTTCTCTCCTTTTCCTTTCTTTTCCTTTTACTTACTTGTTTTTTCTCTTTCTCCCTCCCTTCATTTTTCCCATTTCTTTCTCTTGTCTAAATAAGTTTGGGAAATAATTTTAATGGGCTAACAAAGAGGAGTGACCTCTCTAAGATACGACTGTTAAGATTCGTAAAGCAGGGGAATAATTGGGAAAACAGGAAAGGGCTAAAAGACTGCCACTCAGATTCCCGAACTTAAAGGAGGGTCCGGAAAATATCTTTCCTAAGTGAGATTTGTGAGGTGAAATGGGTGGCCAAGAAATAAAAATAGATTCAGTGGATGATTAGTTGCAGATCCAGACTGCAATAGGCACATTTCCCATGGCAAGAACATAAGAACAGCCCTGTTAGATCCGGACAAATCTCTCCCAATCTGCCATTCTGATCTCAGAGCAGCCAAGGGAATATCTATAGGAAGTCCACCAGCAGAACACAATTGCTCTAGGACATTAATGCTTGTGTTCCCTCATAAGTGAACGTACTGAAAAGCATGCCTCTTCTGAAAGTAATAGCCATTGTTGTCCTCCATTGTTTTTTTTTATAATCCTTCTTAAAAACGATCAATGTTAGTGGCCATGACTATCTTTTAATGTTGAATTCCACAGCTTCCCTTTATATGGTATAAAGGTACTTGCCCTCAGTCTCAACTATTCAGTTTAATTGGAATAATCTAGGATTTTAGCATGAGAAAAGGAAGACATATTCTTCTCCCCTTTCTCCCCATCCAGAATAGGCACACTTAGTCATTAGCTAATATTAGATTTGGCAGCAGTATTAGATTTCAGCTACCTCTTTCTTGGAAATCAGCTTGGCATCATTCCCTGATGTTTCTGTACCAGCCTGTTTTTCTAAATCCATTAATAATTTTTCTTAAAGTGCTATGGAGAAGACAAGATATCTATAAAGCTTACATTTTTTTCAGCTTTCCCAAAAGCGAATTACAGTATTCTTACATGACTTTAAGTAAGATTAGACAAATGTATAGCAGGTAGATCTACCAAAAGCTAGTAACACTAATTACTAAAAATTATGAGTCTAGACATACATTGAATCCAAGTGCTTGATTGTATTAAAACCTTCTGATAGCTTCAGAATATAATCCAAAAGACAAAATAATAATTAGTTCAAGAACTTACTAGATTTGCAGGTAAGCAGATTTATGCCACTAGTTTCCACATAGTATATGGAGGGAATGCCCCTTTGGAGATTGTGAATGCAGTGTCTTAATGCTGCTGATACAATGCAATTCTAAATGTTATTATAACTGCAGTTTTAAGTAACGCTTTCATGGAAATAAATTTCATTGACATATAGGGCTCTTACAAACAGGCATGTTTATTTATTTAGGTGTTCTTGTGTCTCTTTCCAAGAGAGAATGCCCTCAAAAAAGTGCTTTGGGATCCAGATGTAGATAGATGCTGTTCATTTTGGTAATACGAATGTTCCAATTGTGACATAGAGTGGGTGTTGCTCTTTTCACTCAGCTCTGGGATTCTCTATATGCTCAGTGATGTAGAGCACATAATTATGCATGTTCTTAAGGCCGGGTAGCTCCTGTCCTCTGTTGCCGCAGGCTCTCAGGAATGTCACTTGCAGAACATTCCTTTCCTGGGCAGCCAAGTTTGGAAGCTAGTTTATTCCTGGCTGCAAAACTGCAGTAATGCCTGAATGAGAGACATGGCAGGAGGGCTTCAATTTCCGCCTGTACCCAAACACCAAGGAGAAGCAGTGAGAGCGTCCTCTTTCATCTTGCCGAGACAGGTAACAACAACTGCAGAAGCAGCAGCTGTGTGGGGCTCTCCAAAGGAGGGAAAGTGAGGGAGGTGGAGTAACAGGGGGTGGGGGAGAGAAGAGAAAGGGAGTGGATCTGAGTGCTTGTGATTGGTAAGCCTCACGAAGGCATCTGCCAGCAGGACTTCAGAGGAATGTGAAACCAAATCATTTACAAGTTAAAGATAGAACTAAGAGTACATAGCATCTTGGGCACTAGTTTCAACTTAGTCTCTTGAAGACTGTTGCCTTGGGAGTTTTCTTTTCACTGCCTCCAAGGCACCTCAGTTTTTATTCTATCAGACTCTCATTTAGTGTTTTGGAATAACTAGGAGTGTGTAAGAAGATCATGGTGCATGCTGCAGGGTAAGTAACAAGCTTCATTTGAACTCCTTATTTCTTTTACCATGCTTGTTCAGCTTCTGGTCTGAACATTACAGGGAGGCATGCCTACAGGTAATGTTCCCTGTTTGCCCCTTCAGAGTGCATGCCTCAGCGAATTGGCATTATACAACTTTTCTTGTTGTGGCATGCATGAAGACATATTTAGATTGAAAGCAGTGTTTCTTTCCTGCTAGATTTATTTTGCCCTAACAGTGTGCTAAATCTTTTTGTTTCAATTGCAGAATGAAAAGCACTTCTGCCATAGTAAATTTAGGAGCAAATTCGTATTGCTGTGTATATAGTATAGTAGCAGGCTATCCTAGATGCATCTTAGTGCCTCCTGTTATTCTATTCTGATTCTGGCACTGGTTCTGTGTAGCTTGGGCACAGAAATAGATTTTTGTATCCCCAAGCTCCAGTTTGGCTTTTTTGGCAGGGTATTTCACTGTGGACTGTTTACTTTTTTTGTCTGTGCATTTATGCTCCATTAGAAATATGCAGTAATCAAGAGTGATCTTTTGGTTAATTGGACAAAAGTAAGCAAGTGCTTGTTTATTAGATGAGTCTACTTATCTTCATTTGAATTGTAACATTAAGTCCAGCTATTTATGTGTATATTCCAGTGAGGTTGGTAGATCTTTTGGAAGAAAATACTTATGTTATTTGCATGTGAGAAAGAGATTTAATTGAATTATTTTAAAAACAAGAATATTATTTAAAAACTGACAACGAGGAAGGAAGGACCTAGGCATATTATTTTACTTCCTTGCCAAAATGAAATGTAATGCATAGGCTATGCTTTACTTCATTGGTGTTTGTTAAATATTGGTCTCCTATGAAGTCATTTGTAGCTTGCACTTTTATTATGGTGTAAAATATTTCCTCCACTCCATTAATAATGTTACATTTTTGAAATTTTATCTGTAACAAGGCTTTTTGCACTAGCTGTAGGAGGCAAAATGGTTTTTTTTATGGAGATATAAAATTCCTGTTCCTCTGCTTGCATTTAAGAGAGCTCTTAAATTTCACAAAGAAATCTTCAGCTTGAAAATATGCGGAGAAACACTTGGCTACAACTCAAATCTTTTTCCATTTTTGAACAGAAAATCTTCTGCACCTGACATTCTGTTCCTTTTCTTTGATAACTAATTCCATAAGTCACAGTGCTCAAGAGAATTGGGAGTGTATAAATAGCAAAAATAAAATTGAATGTATGCAGTCATTGCTTTTCCCCTGGTGACCATGACCGAGAGGAAGTAGAAATAATTTGCAAGAACAAAATGCAAGATGGAGGGGAGGAATGTGGGGATTATAATGTGCTGAATGGGATCTTAACTTAATACTTCTAATCTTCAGATTTTTGTGTACTGCTGTATGTATAATCATAGTATTTTAAACTTTGTGACTCACAAAGTAGACTGAACAACCCCAACCTGGTCAGCCATTAGGCTACTTAGTGAACGGGTACAGTTCCAATTTTAGAAGTGGACGGGGCAGTGTCGACACTATACCTTGTTGTAAAGTCAAATTGAGAACAAATACTTTTGAAATTGGTCTGGGTCAGGTGCTTGTAGCTTTTCAATTCTAACTTAGTAATTTAAATATGCATATTCTTAGAATCTAGAAAACTCTGTAAGAGATTTATACTAAACTGTTAAAACATGTATTTAGGGCATAGCCCAGCCAAAATTAATCCCTTTTATACTGAAGCTCTATGCACATGAACCTGGAAATAAGCAATGTTGAAAATATTTGTCTTTATTTCCTAACTAAACATCCATAGGATTGCATTATTATTCCCACTCATTTCAGAGCTAAACAGATGTTTAACTCTTATTCAGATCAGTGGAACATTCATCTGTGTTGTAGCTGGATTTTGCCAGAAGATTTTGCTCATATTTAAATGTATACTCTCCTTTCCTTCTGTGTATAAACATACATAGGGAAACAGTACTTGAGCATACTCACATCTAGTGAAAAGTCACTCTGTAAGATTTCCTGGTTTCCTCTAATAGAGAATGAGGTATGTGTCATGTATGTGCATATGGGATAGAGCAAATAGAGCAATGAGACTTTCTCAGGCCCCTTCTACACAGCTGAATAAAATCCCACGATATCTGCTTTGAATTGGAATATATGTCAGTATGTACTCAGATAACCCAGTTCAAAGCAGATATCGTGGGATTTTCTGCCTTGATATTCTGGGTTATATGGCTGTGTGGAGGGGCCCTCAGTCATTGGTGTCCAGATCCTGGTAAAGCCTTCCCAGAGCAGTATGTCTACCTACATTCCTTTGCAATGTTAGGTCAGTAGTGAAGATTTCTATTGAACCATACTTTTAATTAAATGTTTTGACTACATCCAGACAAGTTCCTACTGCTAGCAATAAAAAAGACATTATTCAGCTATACCATCATTCCCTTTTCGACAGAAAAAAGATAAAAGGGCAGGAAAACACATCAGGGTTATAAATGGAAGATACCTGAAACACCCCTCCCCCCCCAGCTCTGTGAATGAAGAGAAACAATTACACCATAAAGGTTTTATTTGGAAGTATCCTACTTCTTTTACAGTGTTTCAAACGGATGCTATTTTTGTAATGTAATCATTTATTGTGTGTTAAAATCCATGGATTTTCTGGTTTAGTTAATCACATTCAAGCCACCTTGAATGTAGTTTGTTGTTTATATAACAACAACAACAACAGTCACATCAACAACAGCCACAACAATAGATGATCATTTTCTGGACTTAACACAGTTAGTGAAAATAATCAATAACACGGAACCCTATTGGATGAACTACTTCCAGTAGATATATACTACAAACCCATGCTGGAGGACCTCAGAAATGCCTAGAGTTGACACCTCTCTGAGTATCGTCAGGTTGTCTAGCATGGCTCCATGATCAACTTCTCGTGGAAACAAACCATGGAGTCAGAATGCCCTTTATGCCTCCTCTTATTGTTTTAAAACTTGTGGTGGAACTTGAGTTTCCTGCATGAAAAATACATTCTCTGATTCTAAGCTTTAGTCCTTTCCAAATCAGGAATACTTATGTGTTGTGGTTATAACTGCACATGATACAAAACAATAAGGAGATTGAAAGTAAAGATTGTCTACAATGTGCTAGGAATGCAGTGGGCGAATCCTACAACAAAACCAGAAATAATTCTTTCATTGACATGACATGTGAAGAAACATTAACTGCTATTTCTGTCAGAACATTCTGACTTTTAGAAAAATGATAAACAGGATAAACAAAGATATTTTTGTTGACCAACTGAGTTCTCTCCCACTCTACACAATGGAACTGCACTTCTTGAGTGTATTTTGCTTCTCTCACACTATTATTTGCCAGCTCTGCATCTGGCCAGTGTTACATCTTAAAGCTTTGGGCTAAGCCAGACATAGATTAACCAGCACTGACTGTACTTATTTCACAGGTCATTAATCCTGCCCTTTTCTGTTGTACTCTACTGTAGATTAATGTTAAACTTTGTGTTCATTGTAGCCATGTACTCAGTAAGGAAAAAGCTGGGAAATACAATCCCCACTTATTCCTGGAAAGGGAGAGTTTATAAAACAGTTTATAAAGGTGAAATGGTTCATATTGGTCCAGTCCTTCCTTTTTTTTCTCATTTTCTTGATTATTCGTTATTACAGTTGGAATGATTATGGCCACTGATATTAGTTGGTATTTTACAATTTTGTAACTTCTCCATGTAGATAGAAAACATGAGTTTATTGTGTTTCCATTAAGGAATATTTCCTCCTTTCTAATGATTTAACCTCATGATTTAACATATCATTTGTCATAATATTTCATTCTGAAGGTAATTATGAAATAGTTGAGCATATATTTATCTTCATAACAACTTCCTAGTATGAATGTGATTCAGTTCATAGAGACAGTTGCAATATATCTCTTGCTTTTCTTGCCTGTTGTATTAGAAAAGATAGTTGCCAGTATTGATCTTTAATTCTATAAAAAGTGAATTAATTTCTTTACTGATTGCACTGACTTATTGCAGTTAATACAACTGTGAATATAGAATCATAGACTCATTGAGTTGGACGAGACCTCATGGGCCATTCAGTTCAACTCCTTGCCAAGAAGAAGGAAAATCACATTCAAAGCACCCCCAACAGATGGCCATCCAGCCTCTGTTTAAAAGCCTCACAGAAGGAGCCTCCACCACACTCCGGAATAGAGTTCCACTGCTGAACAGCTCCCACAGTCAGGAAGTTCTTCCTAACATTCAGGTGGAATCTTCTTTTCTGTAGTTTGAAGCCATTGTTTCATGTCCTAGTCTCCAGGGCAGCAGAAAACAAGCTTGCTCCCTCTTCCCTATGACTTCCCCTCACATATTTATACATGGCCCTCATCATGTCTCCTCTCAGCCTTCTCTTCTTCAGGATAAACATGGCCAGCTCTTTAAGCCACTCCTCATAGGGCTTATTCTCCAGACCCTTGATCATTTTAGCCATCCTCCTCTGGACACATTCCAGCTTGTCAACATCTCCCTTCAATTTCAGTGCCCAGAATTGGACACAGCATTCCAGGTGTGATCTCACCAAGGCAGAAAAGAGGAGTAGCATGACTTCCCTGGATCTAGATATTGTGCAGGATATTGTGCAGTTCTTATTGTGTATAATCTTGGATAACCAATGAGATTATTTGTAGCTCTTTAAAAATCCATATTTCGAAAGGTCTTATCTTTTTCCATACTAAACTCCCATCAAACCAGTTCTCTGAACTATTTCCACCGAGAACATGACTTTACTATTACTCATCGTAATACATGACTTTACTATTATTCATCATATTTTGAAAACCATTCCTAATAGAGCCTCGTTTTATATCTGAGTGGAGTAAAAGCAGTATAATTGTTGAGATATACTTTGTCATCTTTCTTGATTAGATTCATAAATCTATAAGGATTATAGTTCATTCATGGTATCTACTAGGCATGGATAGAG